AATGAGATATCACTTAACCCAGTGAGAATGGCCTTTATCAAAAGTCTCTAAAACAATAAATGCTGGCAAGGATGTGGAGAGAGAGGAACACTCTACACTGCTGGTGGGACTGCAAACTAGTTCAACCTCTGTGGAAGCAATATGTAGATAACCTTAAAGCGATACAAGTGAATCTACCATTTGATCCAGCAACCCATTGCTGGCATCTACCCAAAAGATCCAATGACACTCTACAAAAAAGACACCTGCAATCAAATGTTTATAGCAGCACATTCATTGCAAGGCTGTGGAAACAGCTCAAGTCCCATCAATCCAGAATGGATTAATAAAATGTGTATATGTATACCATGGAGTACTATTCAGCTCTAGAAACAATGGTGATACACATCTTATATTTTCCTGGTTAGAGCTGGAACCCATACTATTAGTGAAGTTTCCCAAGAATGGAAAACAAGCACCGCATATCTCCACCAGCAAATTGGTATTTAACTGAGCAGCACGTAAGTGGACACAGGTACTACAGTAATAGGGTATTGGGCAGTGGGAAGGGTGTAACTGGCTCTCACCAACGTTCTCAAGGCAGCGTAAAAACAACAGAACGCTCACTAGTTGGATTCAGCCCTGCTCCACAGGCACCATCATTGCTGTCACCTCAAGATCCTGCACCTTCAGCCCCTGCTGCTGAAGCCTGCCCCATACCACGGACTCTGCTGTCGAGAACATCGCTCTGGAACAGACCAGGCATTATCCGCCTGTCCATGTTGCACTTCTCCGCACTGGTTCTTAACCCCTTTCCTATCCCTTTTCTCTTCGACGCTAATGTTATTCGTGAGAATTTTTAGTCTATACCGTCTGTATGATTCGAGTTACGGATTGCTATGCTGTGGTTGCCATATTCGATGACCTCATCGGAATGCTGGAGCCCGTGTACCCACGGCTCACTGCCGAGTGAACGGGCAGTCACTAACGGACAGTTGCCTCCTTGGGAACCTTGTGGCTTTTAGATTGAATATGCATCAGCAAAAGTTCTGCCTGTGAAAGACCAAACATGTGGGACCTGGTATGTTTGACCCTTGTGCCTTTACAACGTAGGGTGAAATAAGAAATAATACACACACCCTTTGTCCCAGTAAGAGCAGCTCAGACAAATGTCTTCTCTGTTCCTCATACAGATGGTTCCTGAAACAGAGCGAGACTGTGCCTGAAAACTCCGCCACGCAACGTGAGCCTGAAAGGGAATCCCAACGGAGACCTCTGGTTGGGGCTTAAAAAACTACCACCTGGGCTCAGTTATTTTCATCAATCAAGGTCTGAATGTATTTAATCCTTCATTTGCATATGTAGATCCTGGGGAATTTTTTTTTTTTTTGAGGGCTAGGGCAAAGACGTTTCTATAAGCCAGATACCTTTCTGTTCCCTAGAGCTGGCTTTTTGTTTTACGCTGGAGGCTGGTTCCCCAGTCTGCAGATTTTTTTTTTACAATGAAATAAAGCTTTCTTTTTTCTTTTGCAAACCTCTTGGTCCTTTTGTTAACAGGAGTTAGGGAATTTGTTGTCTGGTTACAAAGGAGGATTTTGTACCCTTCATGGGAGTTTCTGGGGGCTCATAGGTACCGTCCTGCTGCCCTAAACCAGCTCCAGCAGGGACCCAAGGCTGGAGAGGAATAGGAGGGCAGCGGACTCGCAGGGGGCATTTGGATAGTCCCCTTAGGTCACTCTGGGTGTCTCTTAAGCAGCCTTGACCCTCGTAACACCTCCTGTCCGGTGGCTATATACAAGAGTTTTCAAGGTATAATAAAGTAGATTCGTCTCCTAAAAGTGTGTATTTACCTGGCTCAGGATGTGGTCAAAATGAATTCCCTAGGAAATTTCACTGGAGTTTATACTCGTCTCACAATGCCTCCTTCTGGTCCTACATCTTTTGTACTTCATACCCTTCGGCTTGACATCGCACACAACAGTTGTGAACCACAGTAGCCATAGACGTGTGAATTTCCTCCAACGAACGAGAGAGCATGCAAAAGTTTTTAGTAATAACCACAAAAAGTTTCATGGAGGAATATTGCCAATTTGCATGGTCCATTCTGCAATTTTTAAAAGATCAAGCTGAGTTTATAGATGCCTAGACCGGAGAGATAAGGTGAGGAACAATTATGATTTGGACCAAAGGCTTATTGTACATTCTATCCCTAATATCAAATCTAATTACAATGTTAAATACTTTTTCCCACTGAAATGATTTAGCAGAATTGGGAATTCTTATTGAGTATATTGACAGTTGCTTTGTTTGAATATTTTTTTTTTATTTCGACATATTATGGGGTAACAGATTTTAAGGATTCAATAAATTCCCATTCCCCCACTTCCCCACAAGTTGAGCTCCAGCATGATCATCCCCAGATGGTGTGCACATACCACTCAGTATATATGTATATACAAGCCCGTC